ACTGCACAAGTAATTGATTTTATAATTTTTGTCCCTTAAAATTTCAAACAAAACATTATATCAAAGACCAAATAAATAAATTCAAGTATTTTTTTCATTTTTTACCTTCTACCTAAGGTGTTTTTATGATATGAATGTTCTACAAATAAAACTTATAAAGCAAAAATCTATGAGCATGTAATTACAAGTCAGGAAGATGAGCTATTAAGTTTGTCATTAACTGCTTCGGGTATAGGCAAAAGTGCTATGGCAAGTCAAAGTCCAAAACACAGCTTATAATTATGGTATCTCTAATAAAATTTAAGTGTCAATTACAGATCAAAGAGTAAGATTACAAATTAATCTCAGTTCCATGCTGATTCCAATAGCAATGGATAATTAGAGTTGGATTGCCATTCAGTAAAGTCATTAATAACTACAATAAGTTGAGAAACTGCATAAAAATATACAACTGAACCATCTTTGGTAACCATTAAATGTGAAATGGTGACTTTCAAATTGACTGTAGTGAATAATAGTGCAGTGCCATTCACAGATCTGACATTGTTATTATGTTTTTTATAATTTGAAGTAAAGCATAATTTGTTCAATTAAGCTATCTCTAGTGTACAGATATTTATATTTACTAATAGAAATGATAATGTCACCAGCAATTCAGAATTGTTAAAAATTGTATTCCAATTATTCTATATTATATTGATTTTGCAGTTTCAGAGGAAAAGATCTGTGAAACCTAACAAAAATAATGGCTAAATATAGTTTATGGTTGCCCTCTTGGTATTTATGTTTTTTCATTTCAGGACAATAACTCTATCAGGTAATTAAGTTTCCCTTTATCTAATGTATTATATAGTTTTCAGGATTATCAGCAGCAACTCAAAACTCAATACTGTATGAACGTGGCTGTGTATCTGTTTTAGATGTATAGATATGCTTTATGAGATTCAAGATTTACATGGGTTACTAAAATGTTTTTTGAAACAAAACAATTAGTATTGTTTTACATCTGGTAGAAATTATTGATGCCAACAAAGGCTATTTTTTCAGACGAAATATTTGTCAACACGATTTTATTCTAATTAAGTGTGGATTTATCAGTACAAAGATTGATACACTTACATATATATATATGTACTCATATAAAATTGAAAAAAAGACCAACCAGCATATTTAATATGTACCAGATTGTTTAGAATATGTGAAACTGTGCAGATTAGGCTATTATACATGTATATTCGTATGTGCTAAAAATTATACAGGCTGATATCATAAAGAAAATGTAACTACTATTGCATATTTATTGCATAAACTTACATCCCCCTGGACTTGTATGTTGTGGGTTATATTATTTATTGATCCACTTGCATTGAACAACAAATTTTTCCATTCATTATTTTTTACTGTAAAGTACACTTGTTGCATGTTCAACTTCACAATAATTTTTCAATGACAAAACCCAGGAAGAGGAGTCATCATTAATAATAAACTATAAAATTAAAATCACATCTGACATGAACAAAACCCATCTTCATTTTTCTTCAATCTGGAGAAGCAACAGGATTGAGAAAGCAAGTTAATTATTTACAGAAGTTTCTGTTTTATACTGACACTTTTAACATCAACTTAAGAGAGCTCAAGATACCAGGAAATTTGAAAATAATAATTGGAACTGTTATTTATTTTCTTTTAGTTTTTTTATTTGTATAATTTTCATGACCATTCCTAAATCTTACATTAATTTTTTTTTATCTAATTTTTTCTGAAAAAAAATAATCTGTGAAAACACATTTGAAAATATATTAGTTTTTGATTCCAACATTTTTTGTTATACAGTATAAACTGAGAAATTAAAAAGATAGTCATCCCTACTTTTTTCATAGTGGTATACAAGTTTTGGAAAAATTTGGACACAAATCTTCTTCAACACAGGGCAAAATCAATGCAAGGCTCAGGTAGTATAGCATTGTATTGTATCTTACTAATCTAGCTTGCAAACTTCAACTTTTCAAGCTTGTCAAGTTCTTGGAGATGAATAAGAAGTGCACAGTGAATAAGATCATTTTTCTCAACACAGGGTTAGATCTGCACTCATTAAAAAGCAATTAGTAATTATTTTCAGTATAAAGAACTCATGCATTGCATGATAAATCTCCTCCAGTCATCAATCATAAATGATTGAATTTTTACATTAAATCACTTCATTTACAAAAGTGGCATTTTGTTTCACTGCACTGACATTTTTGAACGTCATGAACATAAATTCATTTGTATTTAGCAAGAAAAATATTAGGCAATTAAGACTGCTAATGAAAAATTTCTTTTCCGGCAATATTTTAAGGAAGTTTTGGAAATTAAAAATATGAAAGCAATTTTTCAATTTCTGACTTCAACCTTCAAACTAATCATGGTAAGATGCTGTATAACATCTAAAAATGTGACCAAAATATTTTGGCTTTATTGTTTTCAAAATTATAATTAAATTTGCCTCAAGGCAACAATAATAAATATTACCATTCTGCTATTTAGCATTTTATTAGACTACCATCCCATATGCATTTTTTTCTCTTTTTTAATTAAAAAAAAAGCAAACTCTACAGAGGTTATAGTTACACATGTACTACTTTAGCTTAATTGTTTTTTTTCTAATGAAAATTAGAATAAACAGAACGATTTATAAATGCAGACAGTTTGACTTTCTCAAGACTTTGATAAGTCAAATTATGTTTCAGTTTCAAAGAATGTTGAATTATACAGCTTGTAATTTTAGAAATCTCGAATGTTGGACAAAATTAAAAAAACGAACATGGAAAACTCTCGATGTCTAAATTTTGCATAACTTTGTATTCAGTGGGATGATTTAGTTATAAAAAAAAGTAGAAATCCCATCAGAGACATAGTCACTGTCTCAATTTTTGAATGCATAATGGAATTAAGTGTGGATGTGTAAGACCTTCTGACATCTTTTGAAATCATTCCCCATTTTACCAACTCTTTCCATTATAACGGATAAATAAGAAGTTGAAATGTTAATTGATATATGCAATTTCATGAAAATATACATTAGTTTGAAAAAAACATTTTATGTAGGGGTGCATTTGCACATTTAAAAAGTTTTAAACAAAATACTGAAGTATGTTCATAATGACAATTAAACAGTCTGCACAGTAACTTGGCTAAAAAAGATTGCATAATGAATAGAATTTTAAAAGAATTCACAAAAAGCATCAAACAATCGAATGACTATAGCAATGTACAAAACACATATTCTGTATAGTGGTAGCTTTTAGCCAAAGCTTCATTCTCTTCCAGTCTAGCTTCTTGAATTCCTTTGTGGCATTTACTTTCAATTGAAAGTTAAATCACAATGTAAATATAAAAATAGAACAGTTAAAACATAACAACTGCTGGAGTACAAGACACACACCTACTCGTACAAAATTAATATGAGCATTATAAATTTACAAAACAATTTAGGTATAATTCCTCACCTCCAGATTTTTTGTTTGTTTTTTGTAAGTCTCTAACAACTCAACCTACACTTATATCTTTAATACATTCATAAACAAATATAGATTGTTTCATCAGGAGATATGGCAGCTGCAAAATGTTAGGCAATGTTGTCCCAAGGAATGAAAGATCAAAATGCCAGTTGCAGGTGTAGTACTAGTAGCTATAGGAAGTTCAAAACATATATTGTGTAACGTGGTTACATAATCTGGTGCACAAATTTAACAAAGGACATAATCTAGTGCACAAAAGTAACAAAGGAAACATAACTATGAAGTGCATTATAATAAAATTTGAGTTTTGTCAGCTCTACATGGCATTTTGAAAATATAATGGAAATGGTAATGATGCTTACATTACAGCCTACTGTAGACACAATCTTGTCAATATTTAGTTTAATATATCATTAAATCCAATTTCCTTTAAAACTGAACTTCCTATATCAAATGAATAAGGAAATTCTGACACTCAAATACGAGTTAAATTCAATAAAGCAACACACCGTGCATATGTAAAAATTACATTAAAAACATCTTGTCATATCAATTTAATAACATACTCTAAATACATAATACTCCAAATTTTGGTAATAGCTTTTGTATTTCTGATCACCATCTTTCATTTTTCTATGTGAAACTACATTCTTCTTAAATGTAACAAAACCTTTTGAATGTTAACTGTTGAAATCAGAATTGTTCAGGTAAGTCTAAGACAAAATAGCCTGAATATAGCTTAAGTTCACTTAAAACCTTGATAAGAAAACACACATTTTCTTGAGCAATTTGATTTCAATAGTTATCATTTTTGGTGGAATCTCAACTGAAGTCACCACATCAAAGAAAAACGTTTATAACATAACTCTTATGCTGCAATGTATCAATTGTTATTAAAAGGGAGTGCAAGAAATTCATACAAATAAAACATATAAAGTTATATAAAAGTGAAGAATTTCTTTGTGAACATTATATGCAGAAGTTGTCAAAGTGTATTTCTTTGAATAAAATCAAATCTTTTCAGAGGGTATCATTATATCAAATATGAGTAATCATTATATATCAAATTTGCTTCTTTTATGATTGAACAAATACAATATATTTTCTTGTGTTACATTACTTTACAACAAAGAAATTCTTCAAACTTGCTAGAAGTAAATGATACTGTAGTGTTAATAGAATTACAAAGCATTATTTACACTGTTTCATGTTATAAAAAGATATAAATCACTAAAATGCTTCCTCCACTTGCATTTTCAACTGACTAGGTAACTTGTTTATTTGTACAGTTTTCTTTGAAGTCTAATATTTTTGTAAATTTCTGTCATATTGTTTATATTATTTATATTCTATAAATTCATTAAATATTATCTGCATATTTCTAATCTTAGCTTGTTGTATGTCAAAAATTAGATAATCAACTATACACCTGCAAAGGATCTTTCAGACTGATTTATGATTTATCTCTACAGTATCATCTAAAAGTACATCAATTCCTACCTTTGTCTAGTCGTGGAGGGGGTCTGTACTTGTATCCAGATTGACTCCAGTAAACTGGAATAGACCCTCGTACTTGTACAAATGACACAATATGCGGCTTGAATTCCAAAAACTGTAATGAAAGAACAAGATCACAAAGATATGTTTAATTTCCATATAAACTTCAGAAAAATAGGAACATGTCTATTAAGAGAACTAAATCATAGTTCATTTGAATGAACTTTATAGACAGCTTGGACTGCATGGGTTTATATATGTTGTGTACAAGATGCAAGTTTGTACAAGTTATAATTTGTACAGTGATTTTGTACAACTTATAAATTTTTTGACACACACCTTTTTGCACCAGGTGATAAAAGTTTATCTTCTATAATTTATCAGCTTAATGTCATAAATTCAAATTTATATACTTCAACTTAACATTTAGTGCTATTGTCCTAGTCCTAAAAAAACTGGAAATAAGGACACCTGAATGGTTTAAATTATATTTTTATTTTTCTCCTTATACCAAATATCATATCCATAAAAAGTTGTTTTTTTTTAAATTGGCTTTTCGTATAATCATTACAAGGTTTGTTTTCATCCAGAACATCCTTATAAATGATAGTCATTGTTTCCTGATACACATGTACGTATATCTAAAATATCTTGTAATATCGTCCAATAATCTCACTATAGATACCAGGCTTAAAATATTGTCTGCCAGCATCTTGTTTCGTTCAGGTGTAATACCACCAAATCATAGTACGTCACATCCGGTTGCATACAAAAAACGGTTGAAAAAAATGTTCCCTTGAATTTGACAGTTGTAGGAAATTAATCCTACATTTCATTGCAGTAAAAAAAATTCTGAGTCATAAACATATATCTTGGGTGTTTCAAAAAACCATTATTTTTTTATTTGGTGTTTCTATAAAATATTTTGGAAACTTGAGGTTACATGGTTACTAAAGCTTGTACACAGGAAGAAAAGGGGTGAAAACTTGATTGGTTAACTTCCAGTGGTGGTTATTTTCTTATATGCAATGAAATGTTATGTGAAATTTTGTCTACAGTACTGGACAGGATAAAACTTTACTCATGCCAAGTATTTCTTTATTTGAAGCAAAGATAAATTCTGCACAATTTTTTTAAAAGTGCAAATTTAACAAAGACTAATATGAGAAAATCAATGGCGGTATTACACCTATACAAAAGACTCATCAGATTTGCTTGAGTAAAAAAATCTGAAAGGCAAAATAAAGTACGAAGTTGAAGAGCATTGAGTACCCAAAATTCTGAAAGGTTTTGCCAAGACAGCTACCGTAATCTATTCCTGGGGTAGAAAATCCTTAGTGTTTCGAAACTTTCAATTTTTTGTAAACAGTTAATTCATAATTATGAGCCACATTCTTTTTTTATCAAAGACTTACTCTAAGCTGACATACAATGATCATGAATAGGAGTGTGTCCTTTTGGAAATAAATCATTAACAGTGGCATAGATAATGTAAAGCTTTGCTTCCTCTAAACTTTACATGATCAGGGTATATTTTACAAATATAAAGACCTAAAATGTCTGTAAAACAGAGCCCAGACTGTGGGAAATCAAGAACAGAGCTAAGAAAATTCACTTACAGTAGAAGTCAATCTTTAAGAAAAATCATCAATGAAGTTGCAGTATTTGGTTATATGTATAATGTAGACATATTCAGGAAAAAAAATCATTGAACACAAAAAAATCTATACTTGAAAAAAACTTTTACCATTTCTTTTAAAATGAAAAATTGAACATCTTTGATAAATTACTAGATTTGACAACAAACTGCGTCTTAAAATAATTAAAATTTTGTGATAAATTGGAAATCAGAAATTACTTTCAGAAAACTCAGCATCCAATGTGACAGCTATAGACTGCTACTTCCATACTTTTCATCCATGATTTTGTAATAAAAAGTTACACAAGTTTATTGCAATTTGTGTCATTTTTCTGGATAGTATAAAACCCAAGGAAGTGTTTAAATATAAATTTGGTTTTACTGGAAATTATAGAGCAGAGTGCATTATAAGAAAATAAACTGGAATAATAGAGGAAAAGTACAATTTTCATTTCCTTGTACTTTTAAAATGCTTTATCAGAGTTATACAAAATTATACTTAGCTGCTCTGAGTTTTATTGGAAAAACTGATTATTTTTTGTTTTTATTATGTATGCCGTTATATAAGAGTTAAGGTGTTTTTCCAGTACTGATTATATTGTACTTATTTTTCTGCATGCCATGTAAATCTATTGATCAAATTAAAACAGTAGTGTATCCAGTTCTATTTGGAGCATATTTTAACAAAAAACTTTAATAGTTGTTTCAGGTAGGGTGAAGGTTGGCACCTATTAAAATGTTTAAACCCGCTGCATTTGTTTGCACTTGTCCTAAGTCAGGAACCTGATGTTCAGTGGTTGTCGTTTGTTGATGTCGTTCATAAGTGTTTCTTGTTTCTTGTTTTTTATATAGATTAGACCGTTGGTTTTCCTGTTTGAATGGTTTTACACTAGTCATTTTTGGGGCCCTTTATAGCTTGCTGTTCAGTGTGAGCCAAGGCTCCGTGTTGAAGGCTGTACTTTGACCTATAATGGTTTGCTTTTGGAAATTGTGACTTGGATGGAGAGTTGTCTCATTGGCACTCATACCACATCTTCTTATATCTATATAAAATAAACACTTTATAAATTTGGTGCATCCTATGCAATTTTTAGATGAAGACTCAAACAAAAATATTTGAATACCAAGGATGTACCAATAATTGAATATATAAAAAGCTTCATGACCAAAAGCAACCTAAAACAAATAGCCAAAATACACCTAAGGTCAACTTTGCCTGAGGAAGTCAGGACCTTAGTTTCCCAAAAAAATTTATATAATTACTTTAAAAGTGCTTAATTGATTTCAAAGGGTTGTGTTATACATACTTAACACCCCAGTGTAAAAGCCATCTAAAAATAGTAAGGACATTCATTCCGAACATATTACATATTGATATACAGTAAGAGTTCATGAAGGAGTTGCAAGATACTTTTAACCTTATGAAGAAATACAAAATGGTCAATTTTTTTTTAGATAAAATAATTAAAACAGGAATAGCAAAAGCAATTTTCATACTTAATATCATCTACAGTTTTACTGAAATCAATTCACTAGTTTTAAAGTTTGAAATTTGTAATGGAAAAGCAAACAAACAGAAGATGGAAAGAAATTGATCAACAAACTGACACAATAATCACTATACTAGAACCCCTTCAATGAGCATGGGATAAAATGCCTGTTTAGCACTAAAATGATAGATCAACCAAAACATTATAATGATGCCTGGCATTGTGTTAACATCATTATTTATCTCCTGAAACCTGAAAATAATCTCATAATCCTACTCCAATATTGTTATCAAATTGAGAAATTGAAATTTTTGTACAACTGTACTGAATGTACTTCCATATTACATTACACCTCTCTAGAACAGAAGTGTTATGTTCTGTAAAAATCAGAACAGGAAGAATATTTTGTCTTCAATGGACATCTGACACTTGAAATGCCAGTATAATATTCAAAATGAGTAAATATATGTATAATAGAACCTAATTTCAATAAATAAAATGAGAGCTAATTGCAGTTTGTTGTTAAGTTGGAAACATTAGTTTACCTAATGTTGCACATAATAATAAACCTGTCAATTAATGGATGATTTTCCAAAAGCATGAAAATACTATAGCCAATTAACAAGTTTCAAACATGTTAAAAAACATCAAGTAAAATGCATTTTATAATTAAAATTTTTATTGAATCTTGAAAGGCAGATAATTATGCACACTAAACGTCAAGAAGTTATATTTGCTAATTACATATACCATATACATTTTCATTTTAACAAAAAAAAAGTAGAAAAAAGTTTGCTGACAGTGCAGTGTAGCCTCATCTAAACATGTGTTGTTTGTTGTTGTTAGTCTTTGCTTCAATCTGTTTTTTTTTCTGAAGAAGTCCGCTGTAGAAAGGTTGAAAAGAAATGTTGGTCTGTGTGATATTTTTTGCAATTCCTGTTATCCCTTCCAATGTCATAGTCAGACCCAAGATTGTTATCCCTTCCAATGTCATAGTCAGACCCAAGATTGTTATCCCTTCCAATGTCATAGTCAGACCCAAGATTGTTATCCCTTCCAATGTCATATTCAGACTTAAGATTGTTATCCCTTCCAATGTCATAGTCAGACCCAAGATTGTTATCCCTTCCAATGTCATAGTCAGGCCCAAGATTGTTATCCCTTCAAATGTCATATTCAGACCCAACATTAAGGTCATCATTACTTTTGTTATCATCTATATACAAATACAGCATGACAGATATATTTTGAAACTTTAAGCTCATCAGTAACAAACATAAAGAAACTTTTATTTGCAGGAAAACATTTTTTGCCTTTTTTTTTAAAGTATACTAGTACTGCTAAAGCCCAAAGCTTAAACTTGGAGAGTTAGAAAGTTTTGATGTGAAAGATTATAAATTAAATATGTAAAAATAATAATTTTAAATAGATGAAATCATACTGATCCTCTTAGTTTGTGAGGAGACACCTTGAAAATAATAAATTTTAAAGGCACTGGTCATTGGCCTTTGACATTTATCAAAATGTCTCATTGATTATCTGTGTGAAATGTCCAATATTCTTGTTATCTCAATCTTGAAACACATGAATGAATCAGGACATCAAACAGATGGAATATTTAAAGAAAAATAACATTTTTTTATACTTTAAAAATCGTTATACTATCAGGACATTTCTACATTAAATGCAATTCACAGAGCTTTATGTACTTCGTGAAAATGCAAATCAATGGCAATGTGTCTTACTTACTTATTTATTTATGACTAAATAATAAATAATATGTTGAAATATAGGAACAAGGTTTAATTATAGATATATAGTTTACAAGGGGCAATTCTATGGACAGCTTTTTCTAATCTGACCTAGTCACTAAACTTAATATAAATTGAACTTGAAGAATTATTAAAACAATGAAAAGGTCAGATGGATATTTACACCTAACAATGATACTATAAATCAAATTAAGTTGACCTTTACAATATGTAA